TCTTACTTATAAATACATCAGTCTTAAATCTACTCCTCTAAGTAGCAAACCGTTCCCACGGAGGCCGGGAACACGTGGACTACGTTCACTCGGGTAGTTAATACCCTTAAGCACTTCCTCTGTGCAAGGTGCTGTGTGACCCCGTCACACAAACAATCAACATTCTGATGAATATATACCTGCTAATCTCGATTTTGCAACAATGCCATCGCTTTTAGGAATTTCAAGCTGCACAGCGTGACGATCCATTCGAAGCAAACCAGTATCTTATCACTCTCTCTCTCTACGGAGTGTCGCCCAACGATCCGCAACTACCAGCGACAGGCAGCGTCATTTCCTTCTCGCCCACCAAACTCAGTATTTACCGGAACTGCTGCCAAGTGAATGCGAACCTATCGGCTATCAAAACAGTCAACGATCCCTGAATCATGACTCCTGGCAGGCACATTCATTCAAATCCGCACACAATTTAATTGGCATCTATTCACTCATTCCACATTTATTCATGATCTAAACCGTACACCAACTCACCTTGACATTTCACGATAGGAGACGGACTATTCCATCTCAACGACACCACCTTGGAGACTTTCCAGCAATCACTGAAGCTACCATAATTCTTTTCAATGCCAAACCAACTACATTCAATGACCCACCGCCCCCTCAGCATCTTCTATTAAAAAAAAACTTCAGCAACGAACTGCGAACTCCGGAGCGTTCCGTCCGGTGGCCAATAATAGGATTTGTATTGGACCGGGTGGCCGTAAATTGTGACCACCTTAACAAATCTCCTATAAAGTGCAAAAACGCGAGCGTTAACAAATACCACCGTACTTGTGATTCACGGCCGATACTTTGATTCGATCATTGACGTGCGAAGGCCTCATGTCAAAGACGCATGGGCATCGACAGGTACTTCATCAAGAAGACCCAACGCTACTGTCATATATTTAGAGATTTCACGATAAATGTGCGCTAAGTTATAGCACATTTATGAGTAACCGAGCATGATAAATGTGCTTTAGCGCGTTAAATGTGCCGTAAGACTGTTGTGTTGTTGTCATTAACCCCTTTAGCCCCGCCGCCTGTATTCTACAGGATAAAAGTTTCGTATCCTGCATTATACAGGATACGATATCAAGGTAATTTGCAGTATACAAATGCTAAGTCTTTCTATACAAATTACAAGTGACACATGCAAATATAAATTTTTAGAGTCACGTTGCTAACCTCGGGGGTGATTATTCGTGGCCACAAAATCTCGAGATTTAGGGCACGCAAATTTCGCGCCATTCGCGAATCGGACGGACACGAGAGAGGAAGATCGCCATGCCAAAACGAAGGCACATCAAGCCACTTACGTGGACCAAGCTCTGGACCAAGCTGAAGAAGTTGGGGTGGCAGTTCGAGCGTCCTAAAGGACTATCTAGTGATAACCGATACTTTACACCTGCTGGCTGGGCAAAAAGACCAAACGTAACGCATCTCGTTGATTTTTTTAATGGGGCCGACGAGGTGTGGAAGCACTTACCCGTAGAAGGTATGTACATGTACATGTATACGACTTACAAATGCTACATTTACTAACAAGCTCTTAGTGTTGTACGACGAGGTCCCACCTGCCAAGCGACCCGCCTCAGTATCCACGACTACCACTGATCTACCAGACAATGCGGCAACCACACCCGCTTCGCAACCCCGCCCTGCCGACAATACTAACTCAGCGCTTTCTACCAGCGCGCCGACACCGACCGAGACGCCGGCCAAGACCCCGACTAAGTCGCCAGTCAGGTCGCCGACCAGGTCATCCGCCAAGTCGCCGATCAAGCATAAGGCCAAGTCGCAAGCCAAGTCACCTGCCAAGTCGCCCGCTAAAACGCCTTCAAAGTCTCCAGCAAAAGCACCGCCCAAGACCCGTGTCAGGTCGCCGACCCAGCTACCAACTACTCCAAAGAAACGGGCAGGTAGACCTACAGCTACAACACCAGTAGAGAGTGTGGAACGACGTGTACTTCCTCCTCAGAGTGCACGCCTGGCAGCTCAGGCGGTTGATATCTCGGCTGGCGACGATCGAATGAGCTCTGGAGATGAAGATGAATACGGAATCGACGACGATGGCGACGATATGTCTGACATTGACGATACCAGTGATGGCTCTGAAGATGAAGGAGAAGAAGTAACCAGTGATGAAGAGGATGCTGTGGATCTCTCCGTCGGAACTCCATTCGACAAGATGAGCAAGGAAGAATTGAGTGAGCATGCGAAGACTGGCTGGACAGCCTACTTTGAAGACGAATGTAAGTACTGTGCTGTACGATACAGGCTATCATGCACCTCGCTTTATTCTTTATCCTGTATTCGATACTAACATAGCTTGATGTACTATGCAGGCACTTCGCTACAAATGCCTGCCGCTGAGCTTACGCAATGCACAGCAGCTCCTACCGAGCTAGCCGAAGCACTCGGTAACAATCTAGAAGGATTATTCTTTCTCTTTCTTCCTAAAAAGAGGTGGGTTTCTATCGCCGATGAGTCCAACGGGTATCAACATCAATACCGCACGCAGGCAGCGGACGTCATCATGGCACGTCAAAAACGCATCAAGCAAAGACGTCCTGCGTACAAGATGAAGAGTTTGCAGCAAATTTAAAAGGAACTGAGAGCTTTCAACCCCATTCAGCCTCACGAATTGGTCAGTTTTATCGGATTGCTATGTGCACGAGCGCTGTGCCCTCATCGAGAGAAACTGTCGAAGCATTGGGCTGTAGATGCCCAAGGTGCGGTTCCCAAAGGGACATTTGGACGATATATGTCAAGAAAGCGCTTCGAGGAGGTCATTCGCTATCTACATTTTAGCGACAACGAATCACCTGACGCTCTCCGTTACAAGACCTGGAAGATCAAGCCGATTGCTGACACAATAAATCAAACGTGCAAGCTGGGAATGACTGTTGGTCAGCGCATTGCGTTTGACGAAGGAATGATACCAATGAAGAGTAAGTACAACCCGATGCGCCAGTACCTCCGAGGAAAGCCCCATCCATGGGGTACGAAGTGCTTCATGTCATGTGATGCTGATAGTGGTTACTGCTACAGGTATGATTTGTCAGAAGCCTGTACAATACAGGATAGTTATTGACATTCCTGTGCAATATCCTGTACAGGGCAGAAATTTATCAAGGACGGCTGGATAGTGATAGCGCAGACCTGAATCAAGTCCCCAATGCCGTTCTTCGCAATGTGGAAGACGTTCTCGACGGATTACCAGAGAAGAGGCTGATTATCACCGACCGCTTCTACTCGAGTGTGCTTTTGTCGTCCATCTTACTGAAATGCGGACTTTATCACGTTGGGACCGTTCAAACCAATCGACGAGGATACTGCTAAACTATCCCGTACAAGCAAGCAAAACGGCCGAAGACTATGAACCGAGGATCCTACCGTATCGCTCGGTCCAAGACAGACCCCAGAATGGTAGCTGTGTCCTGGATGGACAACCGCCCCGTATCATTGCAACATGTTGCAGTACTACTCCAACAACAATATCACGCCGAGCAGGAGCAGAGGTTGTCAGTGTCCCTGCACCCGAACTGGTAAACGTATCAAGACAGCATGGGAGGAGCCGACGTACATGACCAATTGCGCTTGCAAAGATATTCCATTCAGGTATTTGTCATTGTTTTCTTATCCTGTACTGTAGTTGGTATCGATAATCATACAATTTTTTATTCTGTAGTGAACAGGGTTGTTATGAAAATGAGGAAATATTACCACACCATTTTTTTGGGCTTGGTTGACATGGCGCTGATCAACACATACATCATTTTCCGACGCGTCCAAGGCGAACGCAGAAGGGCGTTGGCAACCCACGCGGAGTTTATGCGTTTGATGCAGCAATCACTGCTAGGCGTAGGAGCCGCAGATTTTGAAGGAGACTTGTCCGTTGAGACAATGACGAAGACGCCAGTGCCTCCGTCACCGACACCGCGGTTCACGCTACCAGGACGCCACACTACACAACAAGTTGATGCGTTTCGCACTACACGTACGAAGAATGGACAAGAGTCGAGGAAACGCCGGCAGTATGGGTGCAAGGTGTGCTCCTTGCTGCGCCCTGGAAAAACCCCGTGGAAAACAACGTTCTATTGCGTTGAGTGCTCTGCGGAAAGGTCGAAAGAAGAAACGGCGGATAGTACTAATGCCCGAGGGAAGATATATCTCTGCCAAAAGGTGCGGCAACACGATTCGACCGGGGCGACGAACTCAGCTACTTGTAGCCAGATATGGCACGACCTTTGGCGTGGTGGGGCAAATATTCCTCCTGGGCTCAAGGCGATACGACTCCGTGCTCCACATCCTCGTGCTGGAGCTGATCAAGCCGATGAAGGGTATCTCGACACAGGTAGTGATAGCAATGGCAGTTCAAAGGCGCCGTCAATTAGTGCGAGGACATCAGTTGTCGTAGCTAGTAGTGTAGTTAGTGAAGCTAGTGATGCAGAGTGTATATAAACAGATAATCTTGGTTAGTCAATAAATTTACTAAAATTTTGAAATGTGCTGTCTACAAATTCACCATTCGTCAGGCAAGTACAGCTTATCACGCTAAACTGGGCATCACGACTTTTTCATTTACCCTGTACTGTACCGAGTAGATAACACGTGAGGATTGTGAGCCTTGCAAAACTCCGCAAATAGTTAACTCAAGTCAATCGCTTATCCTGTGCTGTACAGGGTAATTTTCGACCAAAAACGCGGGGCTAACGAGAGTCCGTTATTATAGCACACCTTGCTATTGCGAAGCATGTTTTGCAACTTGTGTGAAAATCGCACCGTCAAATGACGGACTCGAGGAGGTGGCCGTGTCCAGGAGTGTAGTACAGTAGTAAGCGTGTCATTACTTTAGGGTCAGTTTGCTAAGCCCCTTTGCTAGGGAAGTGTTCGCATACGTCGAATCTCTCTCGTCTATGATATTAATAAAAATCATTAAAATGTAATAAGTTTTACGTCTTGGACCAGAAGTTCTTGAGTGTACGCACCAGGCCAGGTGCCTGATAGGGTGTCGTGGTGCCCAGGAATGTCATCATGCGCCCGAGACTAATGACGCCCATTAGCTTACCGGAGCGCGCCACGAACACGTTGTTAAGCTTCAGCATACGGAACAGCATGTCCACTCGCCGCATCGGCGTCATCTCCATCAGCTGAAACGGCGACGGGTCTATCAACACCGTCAGCTTGGAAGACTCGCACGCCTCGTTTGTGCCCCAGTCCATAATCTTTCCACCGCGCCTGAACGCAAAGTGGATCGGTGCGCTCAGCAGCTGCACAGGAGGCTCATCCAGGTCATCTTCAGCTTCCTCGTCATCGGACTCGTCAATATGATTTTGCGGTATCGAGTCCATCGCCCCATACGCAGCGCGGACTACTGGTAGTGGGGCACCAATGCTCGATTCGAAGCCTAATGTCTGCGTCACAGAAGGGGTAACTGACCGCGGAGTGCTCAGGTAAAGTAATGACGTTGAAGCTGTAGCTGCTGCCTCAACGTTTGTCGATTGAAAGTAATTGATAGGTGTGAACGGGATGGGTGTCGCGCCTTGGCGTTGACAGCGCGATACGGCATAAGCCAGCCGAGAGCGCGTGACTGTGGCCAAAAGAAAACGATTCTCCAGCGAGTCCACGATTGGGAATACTGGCTCCATGTCAGAACCTTTGAGCAGAGCCAACGCGTCTTCGTAAGTCGAATCAGCAGACAGAACGCCCATTTCAGCGACGTCCTTCATCACTTCCCAGGCTGGGATGTCACACGCAGCCTTCGGCAGCTTTTTCAGCCGAGGTAGATGACTTGTCACGATCAGCACGTCGTACACGTTCTCAGTAAATCGTTTGGCAGTGAAGTATGCCGCCAAAATGGCCACAGAAACGGGCAAGTTAAGACCATCTGTGTGTGAGATCTCCATGATGATCGCAGCAGTGGAGACGGCGTGGGTTACACCCGAAGAAAATGCCCCAGCACCGATGATAGCGAACTCAAATGGCTCGTAATGAGTATGCCAGAGACCAAAAGCACGCACTGCCTCGCCAACAAGACGGCCGAAGATTCCTCCGATGACGAACGTGGGGGTAAACAAACCGGCCGGCACGGGAAGCACGATGCTAATGAGTGTCAGCACGAACTTGAGTGGTAAGAACGTCACCAAAGATCTTGAAAGCTGCAAACTGTCCTCTTCCGTGCTGTCTGGAGCCCCGTCAGCGACAAAGACTTGCTTGTCCTTCGAGAAAAGCGCGTCAAGAATACGCCGAGGCGAGCCGTGCCTCAGAAACCACGCGCTGTCACCGTAAAATTCCAGCCAGCAGGAGAGCATTATTACAGCTAGCACCAGCCCCAACCTTTTGCCAAGCGCGTTCCACCAGGCACGACGAGGTGGCGCAAATGGGGAGGCCTCGAAGATATGATCACGTGCTCGCACAAGGATCGACAAGCTGTAATTGAAAAACGCACCTCCAAGACCGCAGACGACGCCCATTAGCGAGAAAATACAGAGATCGACGAAAGTGGCCCCTCCACTTCCGTTCACAGCGTCTGTGTCAGCAGAAATACCCATACTGCGGTTGCCAAAAAGTCCGTAGCGCGTGTTTTCAGCACCAAAGTCCACGAGCAGAGCGCCTACGATGGCTGCGAAGAAAGAGCGCGGCAATGTCCGGACGAGATAGAAGTGCGAGGTCACTTCTACACCGAACAGCACACCTCCAAACGGAGAGCCGAAGGTAGCAGCAACACCAGCAGCACATGCACAAGCCAGCATCTCGAGACGCTTGGTGTCGTCGTCACGAATGCGGCGAAAAGGACGCCAGTTCATAAGCACACTGGCAAACCCACAGGAAATCATGATGAAGGGGCCTTCCTTACCAATGGACAGACCTGCACCCAAAGCAGCAATTAAACCAACTATCTTGGCAGCAACGCAGCGGAGGGACAGATAAGTGCTCATGTCGATGCCCGAGATCGCGACTCTCATGAACGGCAGACCAGATCCTGCTGCTTGTGGGCACACGCACTGTGTCAAAATCGCCGAGAAGCCGCCAGCCAGCAACGCAGACATCACAAACAGTCCGAAGCCTTGGTCGCCAAGCCACTCGTGATACCGCGCGATCTCGACACCCCACACGTCGATCGCGAGTCCCACGCTGCCAGCGAATATGCCAATAGCGATCAGCAGCAGCGGACTCTGCACCAACACGAACAAGCCGTGCAGTCCTCTTGGGTAGTCGGCCACATAGGATGAATGCAGTCCACCATGGAAGGCCGGTGATTTTTTATATGTGGGCTGAGCCTTCTCTGGGGCTGTTAGCTGTGTATGTCGAGCAGCAGTCTCAGATGACTCTGGAACTGGCACATCAGGTGCAGGTTGCAGCTCAGGCAAAGTCGACACGGGCTTGTAGCGATGCCATTGGGACGGCGACTCGCGGTCCAGGAACGGGTTCATAATCCTCTCCATGACGCTGTCGGCGCGTCGCCAGGGCGAGAAGACCCGCGGAGACGACGAGCGGCGACGCATGACATGGCGGGACTCCTGGTCGCAGCTCGGTCTTGGGATTGAGCCGGCCCCGAAGGAGACTGAAGAGGACCGCAGCCGCCGGTTTTTGCTCGACATGGATAGCTGCGTCCTCGGCCTATATGGTGTATGAAGGTGGAGCACAATAACAGCGCCGTGGTAAGAGGTGTTGGGAGACTGCTCAAATGAGACCGTTTTGACAAGTCGTCTTACAAAAAACAAGTCAAGTCGAGAGTTCTGATTTTAACCCTTTTCAGTTAGATTGGTCAACCAAGCAGCTATGGGACCGATGAGCGGAGGCGCTAAAGCAAATATTAATAAAACAAAACCTAAACTACCGCCACCGCTCGGCTAGTTATTAATAAGGCTAACGATTAACTAGTATTAATAGCGACCAGACAAAAAGAGTATTAATACCTCCAAACCAGCGGATAATTATTGAAAAATCTGCTGAATACCTGTATGCCTAAATCGTTTTTCTTGAATCTGGTTCAACATCATATTTCCTGATTGAGATAACTATTCTAACTAGCCGAGCGCCGCCGCTACGCGGCGGTTATTCAGGTTTAGTTCTACTTGCTTTGGCCTCCCCGCCTCCGCTACGCTTCGACGGGATAACTATTGAAATAACGCTGAGCAAATATGTATCTAAATCGATTCTTTTTAATTTCATTAATTTGGGTCAGCATGATGCTTACCGGATTTAAGAAATAATTATTCTAATGATCTTGAATCAAGATTCTTGATGCAATTTTTTTTATTGCTGGCTAACACTGTATCTCCATCTTCCACCCAAAACCATCTGCACTTCAAATGACATTTATACAAACGCTACACAAAATGTTTAGTTTAGCGTCGTGCTTGATATCACGGACCATTTCTGAGCCGCTATGAAACTTAGCTCACATGATAGTAATGGTCTGTACAGCTTGCACTTCTCACCTGCTTGTACTGCCTATTTGAGCTTGTGAGTAACTAAAGATTGTTCACTTTACACACAACACTCAATGAAAGCTAGAAAATATTCAAATTGTAATATTTTTTATGCATGCAGCGTTCATTTTGTGCTGATTCAGAATTAGTCAATAGACTCTCAAATCTGTACCAGTTATGATTAAAGCATTTGGATAATGTGTCGCAAGATGTCTTGCTGTTGTTGTTGTTGACGGTACAGTAGTGCTTTCAATTTGACAGCTTAACGATAATTTCAGGATGGTTAAACGTCATTTAGGCTCCAAGTTTATTAACGTTTCTTTATGGTGTCTACTTAGCCAGCTATATTTAACACCTCTCGTGTTTTGTTGTTGTGCTGCCGCTCCATTTAAAATCGTATCCTACGCCCCTGTAAGCGACACGTCCGCCAGTTAAGTAGTATCGGATTTTGCTGCTTAGAAAACAATGGCTTACAGCAGTCTCTTAGAAAACAATGGTCACAGCAGTAACACATATGAGTTCATTCTATTCAATCTAAAACTGTTTATCTTTATTCATCAGGTGACAGCGTTTATTGGCACAGCGTTGTTTTTACGGCCAGCTTATTTGGCAGCTCAATCAGTTACCTCACACTCAGATATGTTCTTAATATTTCTACAACAAAACAGTTGTAGCTATTATTTTAGTCATTGTTACTTGCAGAAACTATTAAGAGCATAGTATTACGTATATTATAGTATAGCCTCGAAAACACACGTGTACGCTTAGCACCTTGCAGCATAGGAAGCGTCTTTAGGGGCTATTTCATTTGAGAATAAGTAGCACTCAAATATTAATAGCAACATCCCATATTAAAATAGTACAAATTAAAACTTCGTAGTATTTAAACGATGCCGCCATCGGATAATGGTGCAAATCTCCATATGTGCTCTGTCAACCACATGAATTTCCTGATGTAAGCTACATAATTCCGTTTTAACCAATTGGAGCCGTCTTGGCCCGCTCGACAGCCAATGATAAAGCTCAAAAACCTGAGCGTTTCGTGTGACGGACGGACAGACACCGTGCTAGCATTGATAGTTTAGGACTAGCCGTTCGCCGCCGCTACGCGGCGGAGTGGCATGGTTTGTTGGAGCTGTGGTTTTCAGTTTTAAGTGCTTCGTGGTGTCGCGTGTTTTGTGAGCGTCGTTCACCCCAGTAGATCTTAGATTCGTGTACTTAATCACTTACAGTCCGTTGTCTCATCTGAACCCGTATAATATCCTTGTTTAGTACGCTTCCGTTACCCCATACTACAGGTTCGATGTCATGTTCTTCAATTGACCGCGCTGTTCCGTGTCCTTTCTGGCTTCGTGGTTCCCTGCTTACCCGTGGTCCATGCTGCTTAGTGGTTATGCGCCCTCTCTTTTGGGCTGATGCTGTTTAGTATGGCCGGTCCTCGTTCTTGACTGTCTTGTCACCCGCTTGATCCGTCTTAATCTCTGTGTCCGTCACCCGCCTTCGTTGCCGGCCGTCGGCTGCTCTGCACCACCACGCCCTTCTGTCGCCTGACCACTGCCACCGCGCTCAGCCAAGCTTGATTTGCACACCATCCCCGTCTTTACCAATACCACGACTATTGGAGGATGGAGAAAGAAGCGTTTGCCAATCACAGCTTCCAATTTTAAACAGATGGATTAAAATAAAGAACCATCTCGTGGAGCTTATTATGGGCTGTGCTGCTGGCTGGCTCCAATACGGCCATTGCTGAAAACGCGCAATGGGCAGGACTTGTACAAAAGGAACCGGAAGAAAGCACGTAAACGTTTGAGAACCGGAAATTTCCGGTTCTCAAACGTTTACGTGGTTTGGTGGTAGCTGGTCTTTCGTGGCCGTTGGCCTCCCATCGCCGGTACTCTACCTGAAGGGTGCTATTCCGTGGATTGGTGCCCCCACGCAGGCGTGTTGTTCCGCCGCCCGTGTATCGTGCTCTCCTGGTGGGGTTCTAACGACCGCGTTATCACGCTATCGTACAATCGCGGTGCTGTAATGCTTTCTATGGCATTGTGCTCGCGTGGTGCATCTGCGTTGCCCGTGTTATCGTGTTTTACAATGGCGTCGTGCTCCACGGTGTGCAATCGTGGTCACCCCAAGCGCCACCCCTCTTCCCCCGTGTATATCGTAGCTGGTCCGCCGTCCGTGCAATCCAGTTCTACTGTACTACTGTCCTACATGGCTCGATAAGCTCAGGTTCAAAACTGGTATCCATCTCCAAGGCTCGGTGATATTCCGTCTATAGCTCTGCGGCTGCGTTCTCCCATGGCTTAGGAGCACAGTCCATGCTATCGTGCTAACGTGTGGTGTTGCGGTTGGTCTGTCGTCCGTGAGATCGTTAGCTGCCGTAGTACCGTGCTGTTGGACTCGGTGAGCTACGCTTCTACCCTAATATCGTGTTCCAATGCTGAGTGACCTTCCGGTTATGATCTACCGCGGCTTCATGTTTGGTCAGTTGACTGCGCTCCGTGTTCTACCGCGGTGCTATGGGAGAATTGCTGTCTGTGCACTCTTACCGCTTTGTGCTCTACCGTGGCTTCGAGCATGCGTGCTCTTTCGTAGCCCGTGCATTTCGGCATGCTGGGGTGTCTACCTATTAAGTTCCCTTCTGTGGCCCTAACCTTCCCGTCATATTCTTGTCCTTCTGTGTTTTCATGGCTGCGTGCACTTCCATCTTTCACGCTACGTAAAACACTTCGTGGTTTGCATCGGCTAAGTCTTCTATCATCGTCCATGACCTTCCGTGCTTCGAGTTGCTCTTCTATCCCATCGTGTTTCGTGTTCTTGCTGAGTCACGTGCCTCCGCGCAAACTTGATCACAAACGCTGTTCCCATTTTGTTTGATGTACGCAACATATATTGTTGAAAAGCTCACATAATATCTTAAGGTCACACACTACGCGCGCAAATACAAAGCAGTTCCGGAGGCAGTGTGGGGTGCAGGGGTGTAAGCCACAATAGTCATATTTTACGTTTTTCACATTATTATTAATAGTAATACAATTGTAATATATTAACAAACGCTGATATAATAATTATGTTTACTACTACTACTACAAACGACTGCAAGCAAAAATATGAAATGCCTTGATAATAGTACTAAGACAAATAATATTGTAAGTTAAATTAGTACAGCAGTACTACGAAGCCTAAAACATCATTCTATATCCAATAGGTACTAAAGTTTCGATTGAGGCCGAAATATAAGTCACCAAAGCCTACACTTTTTTCAGCAGCTCCAACGACGATATAGTACGTGTGTGCTTATCGGCGCCTTTTAATTATGCTGACTGTGGTGTTGGAAATCCCACGTGAGCTCTAGCTACAGATGTAGTTAGGATGTTCCCACAACAATACGTCTACTAGGATAGTAAACGATCGTTCGGGCGGACCTGAAGACCCCAGTTCTGCCCTTGCACCGAGACAAACTGGACCTTGTAAACTACTTATATAGGCCAACCAGTAAAATAAGAACACGCTACTAGCACGAGCAAAGCTAGAAGGTGTTTTGAATCCTCGTGGTCCCGACAGCGGAAGGGTACCAGGCACGGGTAAGCCTTTTACGAGATCACCGAGTGTTCAACACTCGGCTGGAAGAAATAAAAGGGAGGCAATTCAAGCACTCCCAGTCGTGCAAATAGGCAACAATAAGCCGTCACGTAAAACCTCCCGATAATGATCGGCCAATACACAAAGTCTCTTGGCCTTGCCGGATGAACCCTCGCTACAGAGCTTCGAGTTCACCGACAGGCATAACACACTCAAACAAGCTTGACCTGACGCTTACCTTGAAGCCGGACGTCGCTCTGTGTGCTTGAGTGGAAATTCTGTTCTGTCTTTAAGCTTACCCTTTCGGGTCTATTCCTAATAAGAAGTCCTAATCAAGTATACAAATATCAAGTGAACAATGATCCGTTATGGATCTTCTTGCATGCCAAGCGTCGTCTGCACCGTCGCATGAGCAGCTTTAACGGTCCGCGCCCTGTCCCAGACGGTAAACGTGTCTTCCAAAGGTCGCTGAGTATTCCGCGAACTCATCCCAACCGCCACTGAGGGTTCGTACCGTAGATGGTCCGCTGAATGCGAATCCGGCCAGTCCATTATTAATAATAAGGACAGCCTGGATTCAGTGA